CCAGTGGACCAGACTGGCAGGCTGGCTGCCTTCATGGGCGCTAGTTAATTAATTAAATGCGTAGTCTAGTCTGGGCATCTCAGAAGACAGTAATCGGTCTCTTGGTGTCACTTGGAGCCCCATCCGGATTTGCAGTCTTCTCTTGTCGATTGCAGCTGGTACTAGCCTTCTCTCACAGCGCGTTGCCTGTATCTCTCTTGCCACTTAGCACGTTTGAACTTGGCTGTGGTGTCTTCCCGTATACAGCCTCACCTTCCTCTGACTCACGGTTGTATTTCTCATGCATAGTAGGAAGAGAGTAAACGTTTGAGTGGATCAACGAGTGGTTGATGTGTCCCAGATCTTTATCTAGGCTAGTCGATTCTTTGACCATTATTAGCCCAGAGGTGTGGGCCAGCTGTGGGTCTCTGCAGAAGTCGTGTTATGTCAGGAATCGATCATTCCTCCTATTTTCCTGGGTCGTTTCACTGTTCATTAAGGGAAGGGAGAGAAAATAGGGTTGTATGACCCTTGTGTTTAGGTCTGGGGTAAGTACCTTTTCAGTGAACAGATTACCCAACGCTGGGAGAATTTTTTATCCGTACTCATAATTAACGTGGTTTTGTTTATTAAATAAATGAAAGTGAACCTAGCAGGCAGGCAGCGTGGTAACGTAGGTGTCCGGTGAGTCTCAGTTGGCTGCAATTATTTTTATTTTACTCATACCAGAATCTCTTCTGCGGGTTGTTTCACATGTCTTGTGTGTTTATTTCTTCTTCCCCTCCAGATCCAGGTTTCCGGTGGCCAAGACCTTGTCTTGTTACTTAATGCTTTTGCTCCACCTTCTACAAAAGAGCCACTAACACTTTGAATTGAATTGTGGGGCCAGCCAAGTGTGTCTCTTCTGGCCCCGTTTCACAGACGTAGGACTGTTCTGGCGCTGGGACCCGGAGCCCAGGCATCCGACCCGAGAGGCCAGCGAGGGGAAACACAAGACTTGCTGTGTTACCGTGTTGTTAGGCACACGATTCTTGCTAAAAATACTCATCTTAGCCATTCTGATGAGATCTGTTTCTCGGAAGCTGACAGAGGCTGCTGGTTCTCAGGTGCCTGACAGGCTTGTAAATAGAACTTTCTACGTGAATGGTTATGAACGTGGATGACGTGATCTCACAGAGAGGGAGGAACGTCGAATTGGCGCCTGGTTAACAAGGTAGCCCTGGAAGATGCAGCAGGGGAAGAGCTCTCTAGAACACACGTGAGCATTGTATTCCTTCCTGCGCCTCATTTCTGGAGAACCAGAATTCGGAAGCTTGAGAGGGATGGCAGGGACCAAAATAGTAAACAAATCCTAGTACAATCAGATTAGGGTGATATTGGCAGATTAACAGTGAGTCGCTTGGACGCAGCCTGCTCTCAGGTTTCTGAACGGTATCTGTTTTCGTGTCACAGTTATTTATTTCGTACCGACTCGGATGCTGTGGATAGCTAAGATAAAAGAGAGCGCTCCTAGGGCACAACTTTTTTATCACTGACCCTTGAAAATGCTCCGTGGGACAAAATTAGGTGTTTCATGAGATACATTCAAGCCTTTCTCTCAGCAGAGTACAGAGGAATGTAAACTGAATGTCAGCTGAACTGCTTAGGAGGTGAGCGGTCAGTAATATTTTTGTAATGACCTGAACTCATCATAAAGCTGTTTGGTTCTCTCCTCCTCTTCCTCGCTTCTTTCTGTTTTTAGAAAAGAAGACACCTTACTGGACAGTTATTCTAGCTTGATTATCCGTGGTCCAGGATTTTTTTTCCCTAAGTTATGACTTGCTATAATTTCATGATACCATTTTTATTTTTTTCTTTTTTTGTTTTTCTTTTTTTTTTTTTTACTGAATAGCATAAGGAATTTTAATTTAGCAGTATTTAAGAATTAGACTGAGGCCTGGAGACAGCATAAGTACATTCCGAGGCCACCATACTGAAAGCAGTATTTGAAACCTGAAGGGGCAGGATTAGGTACGTCTTTGATGGGATTTGAAAGGGAGGAGTCCTTTAAGGTGACCCTGTTTGTTCCTCTTTTCATGCACTAGTTCGTTCACCTAGGCAACAAATGTCTGCATGTCTGTATGTCTTTCTCTTAGTATTTCTTTCCCCAGATACTGGTGATGACCCCTCAACTCAGCATCTCAAGCCTGAAGTGTTAAGGGCGCACTGTTGAATCCAGTAGCTGCTAGCCATGTGTTGCTGTTTAAATTCACTTTTGTTAACATGAAATAAAATTAAGAATTCAGTTTCTCAGCCACACTCGCCACATTTCAAGTGCCCTCTCAGTGCCCCACGTGGCTGTGGCTGGAGGCCGCCATATTGGATGCTGTTCGTCTACAGAACGTTTCCATCCTTGCAGGGACTTAAGCCCGACAGCGCTGTCTTAGCAATCCTTAACTCTGCTTTATGAGAGACGTCCCAGCATCCCTTCCGTTTCATCACCCAGCACCTATGTTTGTCAAGCTCATTCCCTTTAAGAAATCCTCCATCTTGCTTCAGGTCCTCATCATCTGTTATCTGGATTAAGGCACCTGTGTTGCCAGGGCCTGGGTGTCTTTCCTGCCATTCTCTCCCTCCAGTGGCAGCCACTCCCCACCTTGCACTTTTTTCTTCTCTACCTTGATCACATCAGATGCGAATTCCCTTTTGGGACCAAGAGGTTCTTGGGGTGGCGGGCTTGGGCTTTGATATTCCCACACTGCACCTAACACATTACCACGGTAAGTAACTGTTTACAGAGCAGCTAGAGAACTGAATGGATGTGTCAAAGAGGCTGTTGCATTCTGAAGGCGAGGCACATTGGGCTGCATGGAAGGTAGAAAAGGGTGTTCCTGCCCGGGGACTGTCATGGACCCATGGACCCAGGCCCATCGGTAGGAAATTAAACCACAACTGTTCTCCTAGACTGCAGCCACAGAGAGGCATTTTCAGTACCACCTAGAGCTTAACCAGGGGACACAAATAGAATTTGAATTCTGGTTTGCATATAAATGTGTTTCCCTGTGTTTGCGAATACGACACCTCTAAGTAAAGGTACTTGGTTTCACACTTAATAACCTTAGACTGTAGCTTCAGAGGAGTTAAAGATAGGCTGTCCCCACACTCACAAAGCCTTGTTGATTCTTCAAGACTTCTACGGTTCCTAACTGATGTTAGACATAGTAGCAAAAAATGCAGGCTGTCAACTATAGCAGTTCAAGAGTGACTGCAGCCAGACAGACCTGTCCTGACCCCGCTTCTTCCAAGCTGTGTCATCCTGGGAATGTCACCTTCTTTCTCATTTTTTTTTGATGGAGATGGATATTACCTACCTTGTAAAGATTAAGTTAAAATATATGTGACATGAAGCGCTGGGCTTAATCCTGAGTAAAGCATTCACCAAATGACAGCTAATCACAGATTAATAGTTACATAGCATTTCACGCAAATGGGAAAATTCCTAGTTGTGTTTCCCAAAGGAAGAATTAACACGTGATTGCTAAACACAAACGGTCATCCGGAAAACATACAGATTGGACACTTTTCCTTCCTGGCTAGATAGAACCCTCTCTCAAGTGACATGTACAGTGCTTTTTGCTTTGAGAATCATGCACATGAGATATCTGGTAGAGGTCAAGGTTGGCTGGACACTCAAAAACCCAGGGATGATTCTCCATGTTTGGAAATAAGGCGATCACCAATGCAAATCACTTAGCAAAAACTCAACTTTCCTCTTTGATTCTGCTTAATCAGGAGCATGCAGTACAGCTGCTCCTAAGGAAGGAGAAGAAAATCATGTGCTGCTTTTAATTTTAAATAAGCGAATTAGTGGGACGTGTCTAAATGAGAGCATTATTGAAAGATCTTTCTGTTTCCCCCCCACCTTCAAAGTGGTGGTGAATCTCAGCTGGGAGAACTCCACTGGCGGATACATCAGTTCATACACATTCAGAGAATCCTCTTTAGTGGATTTCAAGTTGCTTTCCTCCCACTGACATTGCACACTGCACCTTCCCTGTGCCTGCGTGGCCTTTGCCCGGCCTCACTCCTGCTGAGAAGCTGTTTGATACGCCCCACTTCCTCCTGGACTGCCTCGCTCTTGCTTCCATGCCCCTGGCTTATGGTAGCACAGTTACTGGCATGTAATGGTCACCGTCCCTGGACTGCGAGTTCTTCGACGAGCTTATTCATTTCTGCATCTGTGCTGTTTAAAGGGTGACTTACTCATACAAGATGCTTCGTAAAGTTTTGCCGAACGAACGAATGATGATAGCCACTAAATTTTTCTTCTGTGTGTCGCTCCTAAGTAAACCATAGCTCTTGCTGGGGTAGGAAACTATACCATATGTACTTTCTGGTACCTTCTGGCTCCAGCACATTGATGATAACCAATATCCGATGGCGGCTCTGTAGTCTTGCTGCTATGACCGTCCGTTATCCTGGAAATACTTTCCAGGCTCGATTGAGCAAGTAGTAAATTTTTGTTAATATTTATTCCCATACATTCTATTAAAGCGTTTATAGGTGCTCACCAGGATTTCTCTTGAACTTAAATATTTTTGTGTGAAAAATTAATACAAGTGCTTTTATATGATAGAGTGCTCGCATGAACCGTCAGTGTTCAGTCATTAACAAAACCATAAATGTATGTGTGCCGAGTCTTTGAACTGAGCAGTTCCGTTGAATAGACCTGTAATATACTTGGCTTTTTGTTTTCCTGCCCTGTAGCTATTTACTGTGATGTCCTGAAGTTAATTTCGGAGCTTTCTCCAGGATAGGGAGTTGGAATTATTCAGGAATCCACATACCTTATTAGCTCCTTGCTTAAACTAATTAAGAAAAAACTAGTTCTGAGACGAGAACTCCCTTGATGAAATTGTTGAAATGTGAAATTTGAATATAAGACTTTCTTGAAGACTTGAATGCGTTTTACTTACTGTTATTTAATTTCTTTTCTTTCTTTCTTTTTTTTTTTTTTTTTAGTTTTAATTTTGATTGCTGTACCATTCATTGATACCTGAGCCAAAGCGGTGATGCTGCCGGAAGGACATTTCTGCAACCCATAAGTCAACAGTTACACGGTAAGAATGCAGGCCGCTTACCCTTAAAGCCATTTAATTTCTGTAACATTATAGCTTAGAATTTTAATTCAAAGTAGAATAGTATACAATGTTCTAATATTTTAAAATATTAAATATTAGTGTGCTTTCACATAAAAATTAACAGCAGATAATATTTTTGGAGCTTTAGGTCCTGGTCAGCAGTTCAATTTGAAAGAGAAAAATATGGGGCGCTTGGGTGGCTCAGTCTGTTGAGAGTCTGACTTTGGCTCAGGTCATGATCTCACAGTTTGTGGGTTCGAGCCCCGCGTCGGGCTCCGTGTTGACAGCTAGCTCAGAGCCTGGAGCCTGTCTTCAGATTCTGTGTCTCCCTCTCTCTCTGACCCTCCTCTGCTCACGCTGTCTCTTTCTTTCTCTCTCAAAAATAAATAAAACATTAAAAAATTTACGAAATATATAACTTGATATATATCAATTTCCTATTAATTTTGAGGGGAAAAACAAATATGGCTATACAGTTTGTGACTAAATTGGAGTCTTTGTCTTCCTCCCAACATATTTTGCCCGTTTACTTTTTATTTCATGGGGTTTAACCGGTTCTTTATTATCTTAATCTTGTTAATAATGAATGGATATGAGATGTCAAGATAATCAAACTGAAACCTAGTTGGATTTTACTACAACCTCGAACTAAAGTGGTGTTGATTCCAGCAGTGGCATTTAAAATGAGGTTTTGAATTATTTAGAGATTTGAATGATCTGTGTTCCTTTATCTTCAAGGGATAATTCAAGAGCAATGAGACATGGCCAACCAATAAGGCAAGTTATTCCTTTGAGCTTCATTTTCCTTGTACAGAATGTCTATAATTTGTTTTATAGAGTTGTAAAAAGCAAATGAGATGATCTATGTGAAACTGTCTTTTCTTCCTTTTTTTTTTTTTTTGAAGGGTAGAGGGAGAATAACAAAAAGTCTTCTGATTTTGAGGTGGGATTTAGAGCACACTGTTCTTAATATCCTTTAATTTTTTTTTTTAATGTTTATTTATTTTTGAGAGAGAGACAGAGCGTGAGCAGGGGAGGGGCAGAGAGAAGGAGACACAGAATCCGAAGCAGGCTCTAGGCTCTGAGCTTTCAGCACAGTGACCAACGTGGGGCTCGGACCCATGAACCATGAGATCATGACCTGAGCCGAAGTCGGACTTTTAACCAACTGAGCCACCCAAGTGCCCCATTAAAAAAAAAAAATGTTGCTCTTAGTATCCTTCAGAGGAAAAGATGCTGGAAGACTTGATCTCCAGGTCTGTCTCAGTTTGACTGTGGGCATAGCATTTCGTTAATTTATAATTAGAAAATTGAATTTGATTTCCATACTTCCACTTCACAGGTAATTTTTCAGGAATAGGTAGGTCTGTAGTTTTGGACTTTGTTGAAACTAAGCTAGAAGTCAGTATCAGATTATGGGAAATCTCCAAGTATTTTGAAATTAAATATCACATTCTAAAAACCCCATGGATCAAAGAGGAAGTCACAAAGGAAATTAGAAAATATTTTGAATTGGGGCGCCTGGGTGGAACGGTCAGTTAAGCATCGGACTTCAACTCAGGTCATGATCTCCTCTCATGGTTGGTGAGCTCCAGCCCTGCAATGGGCTCTGCGCTGTCAGTACAGAGCCCACTTTGGATCTTCTGTTCCCGCCTCTCTCTGCCCCCTCCCTGCTTGTTCTCTCTATCTCAAAATAAAAAAAAGTAAACTTAAAAAAAGGAAGAAAATATTTTGAATTGAATGAAAATGAAAATACAACATATCCAAATTTCTGGGATGCACCTAAAGCAGTACTTCCAGGGGAAATTTACAGGGCTAACGGCTTCTATTAGGAAACAGAAGGTTTGAAACAAAAATCTAAACCTTCACCGTAAGAAATTAGAAGGCAAAGAACAAATTAAACACAGAACAAGCAGAGAAGAAGATACTAAAGGTAAGAGCAGAATTCACTGAAACAGAAAACAAAAACTAGGAAAAAAAATCACTGAAACCAAAAGCTGTTTTTCTTAATGAGTTCAATAAAATTGATAAATTTGTAGTTGTACTAATCAGCAAAAAAGAGAGAGAAGGCAGAAATTTCTAATATCAGAAAAGAGAGACCGTCAGTATAGATTCTACAAAAGGAAATTAAAGGGAATATGAGGAGCCACTTAATATATTTGATTACTCAGGTAAGTGGGCGAATTTCATCAAAGACACAAGGTGCTTAGCCTTACGCAAGGGGAAGTAGATAATGTGCATATCTCTTTATTCAAGAAATTGAATTTGTAGTTAAAAACGCTCCCTAGAAAGAAAGCTCTAAGCCCAGATGGACTCACTGGGGAATTCTACTAACCTATTAAGAAAGAAATAATATGAATTATATACAAAATCCTTAGAAAATAGAAGAGATAGGACCCTGACTTATTTTATGAGGCCATTATTACTCGGATATTAAAAACAAAGATAGTTCTCAGCAGAATATCCGCAAGCTGAACAAAGTGTATATAAAGAGGATGGTACATTATGCCGAAGTGCCATTTGTTCCAGAAATACAGGACTGGTTCTTCATTTGAAAGTCTGTCCTGTAATTCACAGGATCAAGAAACTGAGCAGAATGTTTAGAACCTGTGTGATCCTCTTAATAGATAAGAAAGATCATTTGATGTTACTTATCATTTATTCACGATAAAAACTCAGAAATGCAGGAACGGAAGGGAGCTTCTTCCAGTTGGTAAAAGGTGTCTCTGAAAGTCCTAGAGCTAAGAATTTGAATTCTTGATGAAAGACCTAATGTTTTCGCCTGATTTTAGGAATAAGGGAGGGTAAGGATGGTCACTCACCATTCTTACTCAGAATTGTCCAAGTCAGTGCAGTAAAGCAAAAAAAAAAAAAAAAAAAAAAAAAAAAAAAAANGAAAATATACATGAAAAACTAAGGTCCCACGGCAAGCGACCTGAGCAATGTTTCTAGCCTAGCCTCCTAGCCTCTGATACAGGGAAGGGGACAAAGGAGGCGGGAATAAACGTTGAATACCAGTAGACAGTGTTTACTACATTTTGGTGTCTGCGATTATGATCTAAAAATCATAAGATTTGGGGCGCCTGGGTGGCTTAGTCGGTTAAGCGTCCGACTTTCGCTTAGGTCATGATCTCGCGGTTTGTGGGTTCGAGCCCCGTGTCGGGCTCTGTGCTGACTGCCGGCTCAGAGCCTGGAGCCTGTTTCAGTCTGTGACTCCCTCTCTTTCTGACCCTCCCCTGCTCACGCTGTCTCTCTCTCTCCTAGAAATAAATAAAACATTAAAAAAAATTATAAAAATCATAAGATTTATAGGACTTGTGGTTTTAGTTCCCGTGTTCTCTAGAGTGAAAAGTCCGCCTATCCTGTTGAGAGAGTCCAAGTTCAACATTTGCTTCTTTCTGTTAATCTGACCAGAAAGCTTTGTGTAGTACTTAAAAGGTATGTCTTGGTTTTGCCTTCATTACATAGCTCATTTTTTGATCGAAAGAAAAAGACTGTCTGAAACAGTGCTATGATGTCCTCTGAAATTCTAAGAAGGCATCCAGAATTACTTGTTTCATGTATTAGGACTATCAGATATCTTTGGATGAGTTAAAACTGTCTTGTATGCCTGTCGTCTGTATCTCAGAATTCATTGACATGTTTTGTGTTATAATGTATGCCACATTTCATGCCTGTTGATTTCTGCTAAGCTGTCTCCATACACATACCTTTGTGATGCGTGGCAGTAAAGAACTTAGGAAATCCTGAGTCCTTGCCCCAGCTGTCTGGGACACTTGTATGGCAAGACACTGTATCTCTGGATAGCGTTACACAAATCATTTCGAAGTCTCTTGCAGTCAAATAGTTTCTCCGCCTTAGTGGAATGCTTGTAAATGTAAACGAACATCTAATTTAATAGCTGTGTGCGTTTCCATTTGAATTACAGTTGACCTTGAACAGTGTGACTGTTAGGGGCCCTGACTTCTGCACAGTCAAATCCACATACAACTTTTGACTTCCCCAAAACTTAACTACTGATGGCCTTGGCTGGAAGCCTTACCAATGACATAAATAGTTGATTAACACGCATTTTGCATATTATATACTGTATTCTTGCAATAAGGAAAGTTAGAGAAAAGAAGATGTTACTGAGAAAATCATAAGGAAGAGAAAGTACATTTACAGTAGTGCACTATATTAATTGAAGAGAACCCACTTACAGGTGGACTGTGTGGTTCAAACCCATGTTGTTCAAGGGTCCACGGTACATGTTATCGGCCTTATCAGTTGGTGCCGGATACTAGGTATGGCAGAGTGGTAGAGTAGAGGGAGTATAAGTTTAGGAGTTAACAGCAAAATCTTGGGTTCAAATGCTAAAAAAAAAATACAGGCTTTAAGCTTTTGAGTGAAATCCACTTAAATCCTTGATCCTCATTTCCCTCATCTATAAAAGGACGATAATCTTGACGAGCTCTGCAAATATTAAAAATAATACTCAGAGCTTCTAGCAGACAGCCGGTGCTCAAATGGCGATGCTAATGGAGGATCTTACTCGTAGAAACGTTATAAGACTTTGGTATCTGACAGAGCTGGATTTGAATTGGATTGGAAGAATTAAAATTTTAAAAAATGTCTATACCGCACAATCTACAGATTCAATGCCATCCCTGTCAAAATTCCAGTGGTAGTCTTCACAGAAATAGAACCTAATTTTAAAATCTGTAGGGAACCACGAAAGACCCTGAATGGCCAAAGCAGTCTTGAGAAAGAAGAACAAAGCTGGAGGTGTCATGCTCCCTGATTTCAAACTATATAACTAACCTATGGTAATCGAAACATTATGGCATTGGTATAAAAGCAGATACATAGATCAATGGGAAAGAATAGAGAGCCTAGAAATAAATCCAAGCATGTATGGTCAGTTTATGACAGAGTAGCCAAAATTCTGCAGTGGACGGTCTCTTCAGTAAATGGTGCTGGGAAGACTGGCCAGCTAC